CAGGCCTGACCTAGATTCTTGTCCTGTTCAACCCTGGCTGCTGTGTCTAATAAAGGAACTGAAAACAAAGATTTGGGGAAACTATTGGACTACAGTTCCCAGAATCCACCAACCAGCATAGTTACCTAGTAGCTGTATATATGTTCTGCACTGCCTCAACCCCTAAAAGCTAAAATCTAGGAGAAATGTTGCCGATACAGATACTTTGCCCTACAATTGCCTTCATCACCAGGCAACAAAGGATAATGGGAATTTTAGTCCAAGCATTTGTTGGGCCAAAGCTTCCCCGGCTTCTGCCAACCCTGATTTCCCTTCTCTTGTTACTAGCCAGACCTGATTGGACCAGGTTTAGTAGTTTATAATTCTTCTCTTTCAAGCCTATGGGTAATAGATAGAAAGCAATCAATGCGTCACATGGCGATGCATCATTTAGCTGACGCATCAGTATGTGAGCAGAGGAAGAGTAAGTAAACATTACAGATAACAGAGAATTGAGCTGCTAAGTCCCTGATAGCAGAAACATCCATGGGCGGAAAATGCCATTGACTTTATTCAACTAGAGCAAGGAGGGGTTGGGAACTTGCAGGTTCTCTGGTGAACTGTTGATACATTGCAATGAACAAAGCAGCATTACAGTTCGTCCTCCATATTCATTAGGTTTAAGGGCACAGGTCATCCTTGAAAATGAAAAACCATGAATAACCTGAGAGAATACCGCGCTAGGGATTTCTAGTTCTTCCAGGGTGACTCTGTGGTTGACCTCCAGTGGAAGCTGATGACAGAATCACACTTGATGACCTAGAGCAGTGCTTCTCAACCTTCGTTCCTCATGTTGTGGTGACCTCCACCAATAAAATTAAGTTTTGGAGTTGCAGTTCACTTACATCCAGAGAGCACTGTGGACTCAAACAATGATGGATCTGGACCAAACTTGGCACAAGTACTCAATATGCCCAAGTGTGGACACTGGTGGAGTTTGCGGAAAATAGATCTTGACATTTGGGAGTTGTAGTTGCTGGGGTTTATAGTTCACCTACAATCAAAGAGCACTCTGAATCCAGCCCACAATGGATCTGCACCAAAACTTGGCACACTACCTACATGACCAACAATGAATACTGGTGGGGTTGAGGAGGGGTTGTTTTTAAATTTTGGGAGTTGTAGTTCATGAACACCAAAAAGGAAGAGAGGACAGCCTTCTTTGCCAAAGGGTCTTTGGTGACCCCTCTGAAACCCCCTCACGACCCCCAGCTTCAGAAACAGTGGGGTAGATGCACCCTCTGTCTACATGCCATGCTGTTTTCAGATTTATAAGTCATTTTCTGTGCTGTGTGGTTTTAGCAGCAGTTTGTGGACTGAGCAGTATGAGTTTCAATGAAGTTACTGTATTTCTTTGAATTATATTACAGTATATTTGTAGCCAGCCTTTCCCCCAGGTTGGGACACAAATGTTCAGAGGCAGCCCCTCCCTTTTTGGTTCATGAGATGTCTGTGATCATGGAATATAAGGAGATAATATAGAAACAGGAGGATGCATCTGACCATGCAGAAAGTACTTTGCACCACAAAGTAATTGCAGACTTGGTCAGCTTCTTGGTTGTGAAGACTCCTTAAAAGAAGAGAGTTTGTCCAACCCCGAGAAGAGGTTTTGAAATATCTGTTTTTCTATTTGTATATTTGGAGTTAGGAGCTGATGAGACGGAGTGTGTCATCTCTTCCTCTTGTCTCTGTTGTCCATCTTTCTGTGTTTTTTGCATTAGGCAAGTTTGGAAGCACTAAATGTCAATTATGCAAATTTGTTGTTGTTGTTGTTGTTGTTGTTGTGTTCCTTCAAGTCAGTTTTGACTTGTGGCAACCCTAAGGACTTCTGATAGTGTGTGACTCACCCAAAGTCGCCAATGGGTTTTCATGGCCAATAAGGGACTCAAACCCTGGTCTCCAGAGTCAAACCACTGCACCTATTACTATATTTATCTCTCTCCTTGGCAAAAAGCACCCCCCCCCTTAAAGATCAGGGTGTATTAGTCAGCTTTTAATTGATTCCTGTCTGAAGCTTGCATTGCTCATGTTTATGAATATTTTTATTGTTGATGTTTATGAGAACGGAATGCCTCTGTTTCAGTTAATTTGGCCTCCTTCCCCCTCTCTATAGTCTATGGTGCCTTTTCATTTTGTAAACCTTCTTGAAATGTATTTAGGTTTTAAAATCCATTTAAATCCATAAACAATCATGTGATTGGTTTCCTTAGATATCTCGATTGTATTTGAGGTTCTGGCAAAATTGCAGCCATCGGCAAAGAACATAGCTGTGAAGATCAGGGGGTGTAATGAAGGGATTCTAACCAGGGGCGACGAAAAGAAGAAAATTGGCAAAGAAAGCACAGAATACTGAGATATTTTTGCCTTTATGTTTTTAAAAGCAACCATGAGGACTAGAAACTTGAGGTGCATCTACACTATACAGGATGCTCCTGACACGACAAAAAAAAACACTACACTGTAGATTTAATGCAGTTTGATACCACTTTTACTGCCATGGCTCAGTACTATTGAATCCTGGCTACAAATGCACCCACATTCTTTGGCAGACCTTGTAAAACTACAGCTTTTGTGATTCCATAGCATTGAGCCATGGCAGTAGAGATAGTGTCAAACTGCATTAATTCTACAGTGTAGATGCAACTCAAGTTTCTAGTCCTCATGATTGCTTTTAAAAACATAAAGGCAGAAAGATCCCAGTGTTCTGTGCTTTCTTTGCTGTCATGGCCAGAATCACTGGATTGCTCTGAGCTTTCCGGGCTGTATGGCCATGTTCCAGAAGCATTCCCTCTTGATGTTTCACCCATCCTCAGAGCATGTGAGGTCTGTTGGAAACTATGCAAGTGAGATTTATATATTTGTGGAATGTCCAGGGTGGGAGAAAGAACTCTCATCTGCTTTAGGCAAGTGTGAATGTTGCAATTGGCCACCTTGATTAGCATTGAATGGCCTTGCAGCTTCAAAGCCTGGCTGCTTCCTGCCTGAGGGAATCCTTTGTTGGGAGGGCCTAGCTGGCCCTGATTGTTTCTTGTCTGGAATTCCCCTGTTTTTGAGCATTGCTCTTTATTACTTGTCCTGATTTTAGAGTTTTCATGGTTTCCTCCTTTCTGTTGAAATTGTCCACATGCTTGTGGATTTCAATGGCTTCTCTGTGTAGTCTGACATGATGGTTGTTAGAGTGGTCAGGCATTTCTGTGTTCTCAAATAATATGTGGTGTCCAGGTTGGTTCATCATGTGCTCTGCTATGACTGAACTCTGTGTTAATTCTACAGTGTAAATGGACCCTTTAGCAGCAATCATGAGGACTATAAATCTGGTTCATGACTGCAGAGGCAGGCAGCTGTTTCTATATGGGTGAAAGGTCGGTATGGATAAAAATGGATAATATCAATTTTGTCAATATCCATAGCTGACCACTTTTTTCTAGGCTATACGTTCCTCTTCCAGATACCATTCTGATGCTTCCTTTTAGCCCTTTCTCTCTCTAGTACAGTGTTTCTCAACCTGGAGGTCGGGTTTCAGAGGGGTCACCAAAGACGATCAGCAAACATATATCTCTGATGGTCTTGGAAACACCTTTGGCAGACAAGGCTGAAGATCTCTCTGCCTGTTCTCTTCCTTTTTGGAAACTGATGCCAAATCCTCCCAACAAAAGCCCTCCTCCTGCTCTGTGGATGTAGGTGAACTACAACTTCAAAACTCAAGGTCAATGTCCACCAAACCGTTCCAGTATTTTCTGTTGGTCATGGGTGTTCTGTGTGCCAAGTCTGATTCAATTCCATCATTGGTGGAGTTCAGAATGCTCTTTGATTGTAGGTGAACTATAAATCCCAGCAACTACAACCCTCAAATGTCAAGGTCTATTTTCCCCAAACTATACCAGTGTTCAAATTTGGACATATTGAAGATTCATGCCAAGTTTGGTCCAGATCCATCATTGTTTGAGTCCACAGTACGCTCTGGATGTAGGTGAACTACAACTCCAAAACTCAAGGTCAATGTCCACCAAACCTTTCCAGTATTTTCTTTTGGTCATGGGAGTTTTGTGTGCCATGTATGGTTCAATTCCATCATTGGTGGAGTTCAGAATGCTCTTTCATTGTAGATTAACTATAAATCCCAGCAGCTACACCTCCCTAATGACAAAATTAATCCCCCTCAATCCCCACCAGTATTCAAATTTGTGCATATTGGGTATTTGTGCCAAATTTGGTCCAGTGAATGAAAATACATCATGCATATCAGATATTTACATTACTATTCAGTAGCAAAATTGCAATTATGAAGTAGCAACGAAAATAATGTTATGGTTGGGGGTCACCAAAACATGAGGAACTGTCTTAAGAGGTCACGGCTTTAGGAAAGTTGAGAGCCATCATAGCAATTGTAGTCCATGTTCTCCCACACATAAAACCACTGCCTGCTTCATATCATGTCCCCATAAATGATATCCTGATGCATTCTTTCCACTTTGTCAGAGCTCTTTTTTTTCTTTCTCGCTGTCTGTTTTCCTTTTTGTCTCTTTTTCTACCAAGTCTCCATCCTCCACCTCACATTCTTTCGTCCCTTTTACCTTTTCCTTCCTTTTGCTTGCCACTCCTATCCTTAAGAGGTATGCCTTTAAATTCAGTCTTTTGCTGCCTTTCACAGCACACTGTTCACCTCCACTTCTGCGCTAAGCTCCGTTTCCAAATACGCCAACCAACTCCGGAAGTGGAGGAATGCGGCGAACTTTATAAGGCGATGGACGGGTTTTGTGTGTGTGTGCTTTTAAATTTCCTTTCTCCTTTTTTCCTTGGGATAATATTTGTCTTGGCTTCTGTCTCCCAAACTCACTGTCACATTTGGGGGATTGTTGCCTTTTGACATATTTTTTTTCCTCCTGCCAAGTAGGGATTGGGGTTTTTTTGTTGTTGTCTTTCTTTGAGATACTGACATCTACAATTTCATCTTTTTTAAGGCAGGTATAAATAAATAAAATTCCAGGCCGCCACCCAAGAGAGGAGGAGTGGAAGCTCATGACGGAGAAGTGGATGAAGGCAAAGGAGGGAGAGAGAGGGAATCGGAGACAGAGTTGCGAGCGGCAGACAAATGAAAGGAGAAAAAAAGAAGAAACTTTCTGAGGATTTCTGAGAACTGTGAGCAAACTTCCTGGATATAGCTGGGTCAGAGTGGCACCAGGCAAGATCCAACTTGGAAATCTCAGAGGATATACAGTTTTCTGCCTTTTGCTGCACTTGGCGCTGCCTTTCGGTGGAAGCAACAGACTAGGGCCACTACAAAAGCAGGAAGAGAGACGACGCGGGACGTTCCTGTGAGTCAACCGGAGCTGTGCAGGGCGGAAAAAGGCAGTTGGGAGTGTCTCCTTTGCAAAGGTGAGTTGTTGTCGTTGTCCCCAGCTCAGTGGCACCTTTTGTGGCTGCGGAGACAACTTGGAACAAGACATGTTTAAATATTTGAAAGGGAGTCGCATCGAAGAGGGGGCAAACTTGCTTTCTGGATTCCAATTACACCTAAACATTAGGAAGAACTTCCTGATGGTAAGAGCTGTTTGGGAGTGGAATATGCTGCCTGGGAATCTGGTGGAGTTTCCTCTTGTGGAGGTTGGATGGCCATCTGTTGGGAGTGCTTTTTTAGTGTGTTCCTGCCTGGCAAGGGGTTGGACTGGATGTCCCTTGGGGTCTCTTCCAACTCTCTGATTCTAAGTCATGTGTTTTGCCAACTGACAGGTGTATTTTGCCCTTTGGGGCCCCTTCCGCACAGTTGAATAAAATACCACAGTATCTGCTTTGAATTGGAATATATGGCAGCGTGGACTCGGGGCCCTTCCACACAGCTCTATATCCCAGAATATCAAGGCAGAAAATCTCACATTATTTGAGTGTGGACTCAGATAACCCAGTTCAAAGCAGATATTGTGGGATCTTCTGCCTTGATATTTTCGGATATAGGGCTGTGTGGAAGGGCCCTCAAATAACCCAGCTCAAAGCAGATATTGTGGGTCTTCTGCCTTGATATTTTCGGATATAGGACTGTGTGGAAGGGCCCTCAGATAACCCAGTTCAAAGCAGATATTGTGGGATTTTCTGCCTTGATATTCTGAGTTAGATTGCTTTGTGAAAGGTCCTGGATTGTCCTTGAAATGAATGGTAAAGGGCTAAGCATGTCTAGACACCTGAATTTCCAAAAATACTGGGGACAGCAGCAATTTGGGATTCCTGGCTTCTTTATAAGTGGAACGGGTTGAATGTAGGAGATTGGGGCCAGAAGGAATTGGGAACAAGGACTTCTCGTTTTTTAATATTTTCAAGCTCCTGGAGTTCTTTGGATAGTGGGCAGAAATTTTCTAGAATCCCAGTCGGAAAGAGAGAGCTGTTTGTCTTGGGTACTGTCAGTCAAGACTGAATGTTATTGAGATGGGTCACAAAAACACCGGAGGGAAAAGATCTTTCGTCCTAGGAAAGCCATCATGTGGATGGGGTGGGGAAGGTTGTGTTTGCATGTTTATGTGTGGAGGAATGAGGAACAGCCGTAAATCAAAAAGCAGCCGGCTAGAAACAAGGGAGGGCGTGGGCTGCGGATAAAGCAAATAGGTCTCCAGCCAGAAACCTGGACTCAGGATGACCCAAAACTCAAACCATCTCTGTTGTTTACAGGTGAACCTTAACAGCTCTCAGGTTGCACCTTTGTAAACACTTATCTGTATTACTTTCTGTTTCCTTTTTTATTGTCTTGTGTCCAGAGCAACTTGAATTTGCAAGTCCTTTCTGGTGTGAGAGAATTGGCTGTCTGCAAGGACATTGCCCAGGGGACTGGATGATTTACCATGGGGGAGGCGTCTCTCATGTCCCCACATGAGAAGCTGGAGCTGACAGGCGGGAGCTTACCCCGCTCCTTGGATTCGAACTGCCGACCTTTCAGTCAGCAGTCCTGCCTGCACAAGGATATAACCCATTGCATCATGGGGGACTCTTTCTGATTCATATAAAACACCTATTCCCCTCCTTTCTTCTGCCTTACCCGGTTTCTGGCCAAAGAATCCACACTTTCAAAAAGTCAATCTGGTTTTGCCACCCGAAATCTTCCACATCATATCTTCTTCCCGTGCAAAGATAAGGTATACTTGGCTTCCAACCTTTTCTCCACCTTGGATACCTGCTTGAGAACTCACCTTGAGAACCCAGGTGCCTGAGCCTCTTCTGCCCACCCAGACTAAGTTCTTCGTCCTCATTTTGGGCAGAGCCTGAGAACTCCAGAGCCCTGCATTTCCACCCAGTATTTCCTTCCTCCAGCTGTATCTGAATGTTTCAAAGGGCTTCATTTCATTTTCAGAAGGAAATTCCGTCATCCTCCTCAGGGGCTAGTAACCGTATCTGTCATCCGCAGAGAGGGGAAGCGCGGAGGGGAAAGGGAATAGATAGATTGTCCCGAAGGGCTGCCGACTAAGCTTGCTTGGGCCGGTGCCAGCGCCAAGACATACCCTGGCAATTCAGTTTTTCAGCTGTTCCCCATGTCTTACATTAAAAAAACAACAACAAATTGGGGCATTTTCGTTGCATGGAATCTGTATGTCGCCTTTTGAGATTGTGTTGTTTTTGCAAGGATTTGGTGCCGTTCTCTTCTCACGCCACTCCTAAGCTTAGAACAATATAGCAAAATAAAGTTTCTAGTCCACATTGTCTTCTTAAGAGCCAGGCTATCAATTCAGAACAGAGTTGATCCTTCGAAACTGAAATGCAACCTATTTTTAAGAAAATGCCGCTGCCTGTATCTGTCGGTGACTCTTAATTAAATGCAGGTAACCAGGGGCCCCTTCACACTGTGCAATTATAATGCTATTTTAGCTGCCATGGTTGCGTTCCATGGAATCCTGGGATTTGGAGTTTAGGGAGAGACATTGAGCAATCCCAACCAGAGAACTGCATTGCCTCATCGGACTACAAACCACAGGATGCTGCCATGACAGTGAAACTGGAATAATAATCATGCTAATTGCTTAGTGTTTACAGGTCCTGGGTGATTGTCTGTTTGTAAGCCATTCATAAGTCTAGTCTCTTATTATTGGAAAGGGAAATTCAATGCTTCTCGATCCCCATGGTGTATACAATCCATTTTAAAAGGTAGATTTTCTCCTCCATTGCATTTGAAGCCTGGGAACATGTTTAATAAGCCTCTCTTCATTTATAATAAGTAGTATATGCTCTGCAGTCCTTTTTCCCCATGCATGGATTAAAAATCATATTTTAATTCTTGGCAGGGGATATACACTTTGCTTGGTATTGCCACAATCCTGGAGCAGGAGTCCCTCAAAAATCATTTAGCAAGACAAAACAGAGCAACTGGTGGTCTTCCAAATGATGTTGGAATGCAACTCTCATCAACCATAGAGCACAGCCAGTTGTTACAGGATGATAGGAGATGCTGTCCAGCAGCATTTCAGAGGTCAACAGGTTGCTCACCCTTTTTCCAAAGTGCAAAGCTTCCTATCTATACAAAATGTCTCCCTTAGTTAAAGGTTGTTGCTTTAAGAGAAGAAAAATAGTAATACAATAATATCACAAAAGCAATGACTTTACAAAAGGAAAAATACAGAAAGCATGATATTTGATCAGCAGCAGTCCATTTATATGCAAGTAAAGAGCAAATGGACCCAGACACTGAAACGTTGAATTCCCACTTTCACTGTTCAGAGTCAAGTTAGTCTTTCCTGACAGTTCCATTATCTGTGGTCTGTCCTCCCTCAAACATAAAGTGGGGCATGGGGGGTCTGTGTGCCAAGTTTGGTCAAAGTCCGTCATTCGTGGGGGTTGTAGTGATCTCTGGAAGTGAGTTATGATACTTCAAATTCCATCATCCATGGCCCATCCTCCCCCAAAGCATATCAGGATGTAAAGTGGGTTATGGGGGAGGATGGTCCAGGCCTTCATTCATGGGAGTTGCAGTGGTCTGTAGGAGATGAATTGGGTGAAGGTACTACAAATCCCATCATTCTTGGTTCATCATCCCCCAAACCACACCAGGACATAAAGTGGGTCATGTGGGGTCTGTGTGCCAAGTTTGGTCCAGGTCCGTCATTCGTGGGGGTTGCAGTGGCCTGTGGAAATGAGAGCCAATCGGAAACCACATACACACATACAAACATACACATGTACAAACATACAAACAAACACTGACTTTTATACTAGAGATTATAGATAGGTTATAGATATTATATAGATATAGATAGATATAGGTATAGATATAGATGTCTTGGGGCATTGTAGCTCAGGAGAAAATGGTCTATATGTCAAGCCAGGTTGACCACACATCTTAGTGGAGTAGTCCATCTGACACTGGAGACAATAACATACCCTCCACATTATCCACATGGCCAAGCAACACCAGAACCTAATAAAGACAGAAGAGTTTATTACAGAGGAAGAACGTACAAGTTAAAAGAAGCTCCAACAATTTGCTCTTGCCTGAGCCTCCTGGCAAGGTTCTCCTTCCTCCTTCCTGATTCTCCCTTGCGGCATTTCTTGCTTCGGCACATTTTGAACTCCCTTTGCAGCAATTGAGGTAAACTGAGGACAAAGAGGAAAAGTGGGAGCAGGATAGAGAAACTGGAACATTTCAATAGCAGTTTAAAAAGTAGGATGACAGAGGAGTCATCAGGACTGCCCCTGCCAAACCAGGTTAGGTAGAGAATGTGCTACTGTTATTCAGATTTGCCATTTGTGGGCATGTGGTGATTATGACAGCTTGTTGCCATATTGTCATTATTCCCCAATGGCTGATCTATTTGATATTAAAAAGACAGGTAGTTCTTGTTTGGAATAGCAAAAGACATACAAGACACATAATGTTGTAAGCTTGCATGTACCCACCATAGAGAAGCTAAATATGATTAGATCTACAGGATGAACAGTCCTTATCCATTTATCCAAAATGGTCTGTATGGGTGACTGAGGCCCCTTCTACACTGCCATGTAAAATCCAAGTTATCTGCTTTGAACTGGATTATGTGTCAGTATAGACACATAATCCAGTTTCAAGCAGGCAATCTGGATTATCTGATAGCCTGGATTATTTGACAGTGTAGATCTAGCCTGAGATAGAAATGATTTTGCTTTCTTATGGTTTGATGGACATAATACATGTAGAAATGCTTTAATAGAATGTATGTTAGTATAATGATGCATTTTAACTATGTTGTGCCCCACCTTGAGCTGTAAGGAGAGATGTCTAATAAATAAAATATTATTATAAACGTTCATACACAAAATTATTTAAAATACTGTGTATAAAATTGCCTTCAGGCTATGTGTATATGGTGCACATGAAATAGAAATCAATTTTTGTGTTTAGACTGTGATCCCATTTCCTCTCATTGCATATATGCAATATGCATGACATATTATTATAATATATTGTATTATATTCCCTGCTCAGTCATAGGTAACCACTGGATAATCTTTGGTGAATCACACACTCTCAGCCCCAGATAACTTCCTGATAGAGTCACCATATGTCGGAAAGGACTTGAAGGCAAAACACTTATCTCTTGGGGAGATAAGGTAAAGGTTTCCCCTGACATTGTCTAGTCGTGTCTGACCACTGAGCTGCTGAATTTGCTGACCGAAAGATTGACAGTTCGAGTTTGGGGAGTTTGGGGTGATGCTCATCTCTATTTCTAAGATGAAGAGCTGGCATTGTCCGTGGACACCTCCTAGGTCATGTAGCCAGCATGACTACATGGAGCGCCATTACCTTCCTGCAGAAGCGGTACCTATTGATCTTCTCACATTTCATATTTTCGAACTGCTAGGTTGGCAGAAGCTGGGGCTAACAGCAGGAGCTTACTACGCTCCCCAAACTCGAACTGCCAACCTTTTGGTCAGCAAATTCAGCAACTCAGTGGTTTAACCCACTGCATCACCATAAAGTTGGGGTATAAATAAATATAATAATAATAATAATAATAATAATAATAATAATAATAATAAATAATAATAGCAGCTCTGGCATAAACCAGTACAGGTGGTTCCAGTGGTCATTGGCACACTGGGTGCCATGCCAAAAGATCTCAGCCGGCATTTGGAAACAATAAACATCGACAAAATCACAATCTGCCAGCTGCAAAAGGCCACCTTACTTGGATCTTCGCGCATCATTTGAAAATACATCATACAGTCCTAGACGCTTGGGAAGTGTTTGACTTGTGATTTTGTGATACAAAATCTAGCATATAGATCTCGTTTGCTGTGACATACTGTGCTTTTATGTAAATATTAATAATAATAATAATATAATCACAATTGTGGAAAAGAAAAAAGCTTGGATTATTGATGTCCCCATACCAGGTGACAGTCGAATTGATGAAAAACAACAGGAAAAACTGAGTCCTTATCAGGATTTCAAAATCGAACTGCAAAGGCTCTGGCATAAACCAGTACAAGTGGTCCCAGTGGTAATCAGCACACTGGGTGCCATTCCAAAAGATCTCAGCTGGCATTTGAAAACCATAAACATTGACAACATCACAATCTGTCAACTGCAAAAGGCCACCTTACTTGGATCTGCTCGCGTCATTTGAAAATACATCACACAGTCCTAAACACTTGGGTAGTGTTTGACTTGTGATTTTGTGATATGAAATCTAGCATATAGATCTTGTTTGCTATGTCATACTGTGTTTTTGTGTCAGTAAAATAATAATAACTATTCCAAAATAGTTCTGATCCCAAGCATTTTGGATAAGGGATCTTCAATCTGTATTTTAATAAATGGCAATGTTTTGTTTTTAAATAGAGGTGGGATGGCCATCTGTCTGGAGTGCTTTGATTGTGTGTTCCTGAATGGTAATGGGTTGGACTGGATGGCCCTTGTGGTCTCCTCCAATTCTATGATTTTTTAAAAACATCAAAGCCTGCATTCCAGAGATGACTTTGGTATCTCATGGGTTAAAAGCAAAGTGGGGCTTTAGCAGCCCGTCCTTGCCCCATATAGGAAGGAAGTGGGTGCCTGGAAGAGCTTCAAGGAAGAGGATGATGGGGACCAGAATTCCCGGCCTCCTGTCAAGCCGGGGCTCCCTCGCTCTCCCCCTCCCAATGCTGACTCGACTCTCTACCCCTTTTTCCACTTCCGTCAGCGCTTTCTGATTTTGGAAGGCAGGGAGGATGCCTTTCGGGTTTTTCCTCACTTGCCCGCCTCCTCCCCACCCTTCTCTGGCTGTTCTCCGTCATCCGAATGCTTGTCCAGACTGCGTCTCCTACCCCCAGTGTAGCTTCATTGTGCCCATTAAAAAATGAATCATCTCTGGCTATTAGATCATCACACCTTGATCAAGAGAGAGATAGGGAAAATAGGATAATTTGGTTGGCTCTGAAATAGTAGGATGATAATTTTCTCCTTTTTGGATTTTTTTTCTTCATCAATTTGGTGCTGGTGCTGTGTATGTTCGTCACTATTTGATGTCTAATGTCTTAACATGGAGTCTTAGATTTGGAGTGCATCTACACTGTAGAATGATGCAGTTTAGCAGTCACAGCTCAATGCTATGACACAATAGGTTTTGCACTTTAGCGATGCTTTGGCAAAGAAGGCTTATAAAAGCACAACTGCCATAATTCCATAGCATTAAACAACGTCAGTTAAAGTGGTGTCAAACTGCATTAATTCTACTGTGTGGATCAGGCATGGGCAAACTTCAGCCCTCCAGGTGTTTTGGACTTTAACTCCCACAATTCCTAACAGCCTACCGGCTGTTAGGAATTGTGGAAGTTGAAGTCCAAAACACCTGGAGGGCCGAAGTTTGCCCATGCCTGGTATAGGTATAGGTGCATCCTAGGAACCATTTAGTGTTGAGAACCAACATAAGGTGGTTTGACCCTTGGGCAACAACTGGAGACCATGGTTTGAATCGCCCCACAAACACTGGATGCCTTTGATCAAAGAATGGACTCTCAGCCTCAGAGGAAGGTAGTGGCCTTTGAACAAGTCTTCTCAATGATAAGTTCACTTTGGGTCACTATACTTGGAAATGACTCAAAGGCTCACAACAACAACACCATCAAAGTTGAGTATTAGGTTAGCTTTAATTATAGTTAATTATATATTCGTACAGATTGAATCTCCTTTTTCCGAAATGTCTAACAGTAGTGGAACAAAGGGGGTGCCTTGAGGAATAAGTCAGTGGATGCTGGGTGTGTGAGTAGCACCCTTTCCCCAAAAACGAAAGTGGACGGCTGGTGGCAAAAGGTTTCGGGTTTTTGGACTGTTTCAGATTTCCAGATCAGGGAAACTCAACCTACATTATGATATATGTTCATGTATTCTGTTTTCTTTTCCATGTTTCATCTCTTCTATTTTTGAATATTTTATACTTTTGTTGTGCTGTTCTTGGATAGTCTCTGTTTAAAATGTAATCAAAAGTGTCATACAAAACAAGCAAGAGAAAGATTTGTATGGTATGGGTGGGAAAACCCAGAACCCAAAATTCCTTCCCTACATCACGGATCATGTCATTATCAATACATGTGGAGTATACAAATATAGGTCCCTGTCCTGAGGAGCTTACAATGTCAAATCTAACAGAAGGGGAAGTAAACAATAAAGGTGATGGAGATGGAAAAGTGGAGAGCATGGGTCCATTTGAGTTGCATTTACTTCATTTAGTTTTCATCCTCTACAGAAGCCAAGCACTTTTCCTGGGACTTTGCATCATCCTGGTACTAATTTGCTGCTGAAATAATAATAATAATAATAATAATAATAATAATTATTATTATTATTATTATTATTATTATTATTATTATTATTTGTGGTATTTATATGCCACCTTTCTTAACCTCTTGGAGTTTGTCTCAAAAGCAGATGTTTCTAGCAGACCTCCACTGGTTTCCTTCATGTCCTTCAAGATCCCAAGGATCCCCAGTTTCAGGATGAAGGGCACCCTAGACTTTCCTAATCCTAGGAGCTGGCTGAACAAGTTATCTTGAGGGATGTGGATGTGAAAGTGAACCCATCCTAACTGGGAACCAGAGTGCTTGTGGAATAGAGTCATGGAGGTTGAAGGACCACAAGGGTCTTCAGCTCCAACCTCTTGCCATGCAACTACACTAAACACAACTAAAGCACTACAAAGAAATGGCTATCCAGTTTCCATAGAAAGGAGAGTCCACAACCTATAATACAGTCTATTCCACAGCTGAGAAGGTGGTGGTTGAGTGCCTTCAAGTCATTTCTGACTTGTGGTGGCCCTAAGGCATCGCCTGTCATGGGGTTTTCTTGGCAAGCGTTGAACACAAGGAACTGGCAGAACCACCTCTGAATATTCCTTGCAAAAATAAAACCCTATGAAATTCAGGGAGTCACCATGAATTATAGAATCATAGAGTTGGAAGAGACCTCATAGGCCATCCAGTCCATCCTCCTGCCAAGAAGCAGGAAAATCACATTCAAAGTCCCCCTTGAAGCAACAGGTGACTTGAAAAGACAATAATATCCACACCAAAAAAGTCACAAGAACATAAAGAATTGGGGCCAGCACTGCTCCATAACCCCTGGTCGTTGCCCTTCCCTGCATTAGGCTAGAAGCTGTTATGAACTTGAATCTACTTTGATGAAGTAATATCCTAAATTGTAGGTATATATATGAACAGGGATGGAGGGAAGAATTGTAAACAGTGAGGTCAGAGGCAAGTGCAAAACAACAACCACGGACAGTGACAATTACATGAAAGCAAAATGATGACTGTTTACGATGATGCATTATTTTGCCATTAGCCAGCTAGTTGAGCCATTCAGTTTTGAATCACCACTGAAAATGAAAGTGATTGAATCAACTTTCCCCCCTAAGATTGTGAATTCTCTGTGTCAAAAGGCCCTTACCACTGTTGAGACCAAAGTCTAGAATCCAATGATTGGATGCAACAGTTTCCTTGTGTTTTTCATTTGTAAATGGAATTAATTTGCAAATGAATGGCTGCTTCCTTAACAACCTTGTGGGTGTCTCACTGTTCCCATTTGTAGATGGCAATCTAGCATGTGATGGTGGCTTGCCTGAGGTCAAATAACAAATTGGTGGCAGAACTTGGGACCCAGGTGCAAATCTTGCAGTTCAAGTTGGTTATCTGGAGAGCTATGCAAACTCAATTGGAAATGCTTCCTTATGTTCTCACCTTCTTTGTCTGTCTCTCTTTCTCTGCAGATGCCCATTCTCAAGCAGTCCCCCGTTTCCCACTCCAAGAAGCGGCCCCGTCTGGACCGGGCCATGATCAGCGCCCCATTGGGGGACTTTCGGCACACGATGCACATTGGCCGAGGCGGAGATGCTTTTGGTGACACATCGTTCCTCAGTAATCACGGAGGATCCAAAGCCAATGGATTGTCCTCAGAAGTGGCTGCATCTCCTGGGACTCCATCCAATCCTGGAGATGTTTCTGGGCCCATCGAACTGCTGTCTTCCCCTGGGAGTGGGAATGGCGTCTTTCAAAGCCCAGCAACGTCAACCCCAGATGGAAGCTTTGTGGTCCTGCAGCAATCTGGGACGGAAGAGTGGCAGCCCCGGAAATCCCCCAATGGGGACCTACAGTTCTCCTTGGAGAGCCCCACATTGGAACATGCTGAATCTCTTCTCTCTTTCCAGTTGGACTTGGGGCCTTCCATCTTGGACGATGTGTTGGGAGTGATGGATAAAGACTGGGACAGTCTCAAAGGGGAGGAAGAGGAACCATTACGTGCTGAAAGCTCTAGCCCAGTGGGTTCAAATCATGGTGCAGCAAGAGAAGAGGAAGAGGAGGAGGAAGAAGAAGAAGAGGAGGAGGAGGAAGAAGACGAAGATGAAGGGCAAGGCTACAGTTTTGAGGATGAGCAGGATGAAGAGATTGGACTATAGGATGCTTTGCCTTTGGGATAGTCCTACCCCTGTGTGCCCATATGACTTGGCTTTTCTTCTGCAGAGTTTCTGAGCATCTCTCAGATCTGTCAACCTTTGGTAGTATACAGCCCAAACCTGGCCTGAAAATGACTACAGGTTGACGCGATCCTTCTTTGTGCCCTTCTAAGAAGCTTTGTAGCATTCAAATCTCTCATAGTTGAGTTCAAGTGGAAAATGGACTAAGGCAACCATGATTCTCACTGTTCTCTTCCCGATGCACAAAAAGATTGTGCATCAGTTTCAGTTTGTTTGGACTTTCTTTTTTTCCCCAAAAGGGAAATAAACTTGGCCTGTTATCCCTGTGATTTGTCCCACATTGGAAACTTGTTGGGCTTGATGCGCAGTCCTCGGTCACAGGATGCAATATGGCATACTATCGTTGAAAAACTGGGTGGCAGTACATAGCCACCTCTCCCTTCCCTTCAATTTATTATATTCCCCACAATTTATTATATTCGCTCCAAGACTTGGGACATCCTTTGATGTACTAAAGAATAAACTGGGTATTTCCATAACTCTCATCTGGAATCTGTAAATGGCACATCATAGATGCCGTTAGAAAACTCATGACATCTTCCGCATCTTTGTGGTTGATTCATTTTCACTCAACCTAATTGTGGCTCGCTATTTGACTCTGGGTTTTTTTTTTCTGTCCAACCTTGGAACTGTTTTTGTTATGCAGATAGAAGGACAATTGAGCTGGTAAATCATTTTTCCCCTATTGATCTTTGTGGGGACAAATGGTACACTTGTTCAAAACGAACAGAGCAGAATGGGTTAAAAATGAACAGAGAAGAATATATAGACATTTTGGTGTTTTGTCGGTCTCAAGCAATTTCTCTAGAAAATTCTGACTTTTTGTGTTCCTGCCCATCTTTAAATATATCTGAATATTTATCCATGTCTAGCCAGCCTTCTATCTATTTACCTGTTCACAATTCTCTTTCCATCTCTTCATGTATCCATGTGTTCTTATGTGTTTCTAGATATCAATTCACTGGTGGTATTATTTTGGTTTTCTCTCTGTATCCCACACTGGTTGCTCTTTGCATTGCAGGGTTGGACTCTTGCTTTGGGACTCCAGCTCCAGTCGGGTGTACGACTGGAGGAGGAAGGCGTTGAATGGTTTCAGAGAGGTCAGTTGAAGAAAGCGCCTTTCTGTTTGGAGATATGTGTGAGAGAGGAAAATCTTGCATATCTTCTCAAGGAGCCAGGCTAGCGAAGAAGGACAGAATGAGCTAATGAAGGAAAGATATTTTGGGGCATAATGTGAATTGACTGTTGAGCGGAATTGTACATAGCTACGCAACTGGTCAACTATGATGAGTGTAACAATTACACACAAGTTTTGTACATTGTTAAGAGGCTTCCCCCTATTTTTGTCATAACATCAATATACGTTTTATAAAAAACTGACAAAAATATGCTTGAACAAACTGGTCACCCATCTCCCTTGTTTCTGCTAGTAACCTTTTTTTGGGTGCAGACTTACAGTGGGCAAAACTGGGAATGCTCAGGTGGAGCAAACATTCCTCTTTTTTGTTTTCCTTTGAAGCTGCGTTGAGGTCTGGGGTACAGGGTTTGCATCGACAGACTGCATCTCCATCAAACATGAACTGGACAGCCTTCCAAATAAGCTGCTTTTAAGCTGGATACAATTAGTGAGCTAGGAATGGTGATAACTGGAGGGGAATTGACTTGCTGATACTAGCTGACAGACCTTTCCTTTTGAACCCTGTGATCTGAGGACCCTATTCATCAACATGACTGCTGGTCCTTTGGCCTTTCATTTCTTCCCTGCTCTGGTTGAAATGGCATTCCATTGAAAGCATCCTCACCTCTGTAAGCTGGATGTTGTTGGTTGATTTTTCAAGAAAACTTTGGCTACTACCTGTGTGTCTGCACATCATCAGAAAGTAATGGTAAACAGTTGGAAAATTAACTAGCCAGTTCACCAAATCATTGCTGTCTTTCTCATTTCTTCGTGCTTTCACCGCTGCTTTCTCTCAGTGGTTCTCAACCTGTAGATCCCCAGATGTTTTGGCCTTCAACTCCCAGAAATCCTAACAGCTGGTAAACAGGCTGGGATTTCTGGGAGTTGTTGGCCAAAACACCTGGGGACCCAGAGGTTGAGAACCACTGCTCTATGAGTTGGTTTAATTACTACACTTCTGTTACTATGTGATGTCCAACCATTATAGCATAGCAGAGGTCACCACACCCTATACCCCTTTGGTTGTTCCCAACTTGAACAGACCTTTTGAATCAATGGGGGTTTACATAAGCCTGGACTCACAAATCAACAGCTGATTTAATGGGTTTCAATGGAGGGGGAAATCTAGTTAGGCTCTTTAAAGGGGAAGGCACTTTCAGCATCGAAAAAGAGTGGTTTTGAGCTCTTTCAATGGGCTTTAATCCATGTAATTTGTTTTTTTTTATCTTCCTTTTTGGTATTTACTCCAAATTTGATCATTGAAACTGGAAAAAAATGCAATTGTAACATATGTAACCTTATATGAAGGTTTTTAACAGCTGGCATTGCTCAGATGGGGAATCCCACTACCTGCTTTTGCTATAAAATATATACTAGGCAAAATGTACTAGTTTGATGTCTTCTGTGTGATGTAACAGCCAATGCTGCCATTAGCATTTACTTGTAATATGGCACAGGGCATTTCCTTCTACTTGTGCTCCTCATCTCTTGCAAGTGAAAAGGTGATTTTTGGAAGTGAATTTGGAGAGCCCACTGTGCTGATACAATACAGTGGCAAACTTAGGAGGCGACAGTAACAATCCCTGGTTGTTTCCCCTTTGAGTTGCTGTGAGTTTTCTGGGCTGTATGACCATATTGCAGAAGCATTCTCTCCTGACGTTTAACTCACATCTGTGGCAGGCATCCTCAGGGGTCGTGTGGCAAATTTGGCCCCTCGAAGTGTTTTGGACTAAAAACCTCACAATCTCTGAGGATGCCTTCTATTGATATGGGTGAAACATCAGGAGAGAATGCTTCTGGAACATGGCCATACAGCCTGGAAAGTTCACACAACTCAGTGATTCTGGCCATGGAAGCCTTCAGGAACACATTGTTTCCCCTTTGTGGCCAGAAAAGGTTGTGTGCCCTGTGTGGTCTCTCCCATTTCCCCAAACTCACTACACTGGTAGTGGAAGGTGCCTGTATCCCATTGAATATTGGGAATTTGTTTATCTTTGTACCTCAATTAGGTCTCCAACTTGTCCTCACCTCAGAGACAGAAATACATCAGGTTAGACCTGGGAAGGGTAGTTTTCCATAATGTGCCCCAGTTTTAATTCATACACCTTTTAGTAGATAATTTTGTTATCCTGTGTAATGGGAAAGCTTTCGTTTTCATTTAATTTTAATGTATTGACCTATTGTTAGTCCTGATTCGAGTACACTCATTTAATTAGTTGGATTTGTATTCCTGTTGGCTCACTGCAGGACCTTCGTAAGAGAGTTGATAGGACAAGAGGGTCCTCTGCTATCTGGGAACGGAAGAGGAACTTAAATGTATAAGACAGGTTAAAGAGGCCATTTTGGGTGTCCAGGAAGAGATGGGATCAAGAGAGAAAGGTTAAATCTCTATAACAGTGGTCCTCAACCTGTGGGTCCCCAGGTGTTTTAGTTTACCAGATGTTAAGATTTCTGGGAGTTGAAGGCCAAAACATCTGGGGACCCACAGGGTTGAGAACCACTACTCTAGAATATTGGCGATCTTCTCAGTAGCTGTTCTAGGGGGAGTAAAGGGCCTTCAGCAATTCCCACGTACCCAACATTATTTTTAGTTGAATTATATTTCCACTGTAGCCTTCTAAACAAGTAGTTATGGGACTCTTACAAAAATAGATAGCAGGGACAAGCAGGTCCCTTGTAAACTGAGCCATGTTGGTCTTGATCTACAACTTGAGCCTGCTTCAACTAAGGATTTAGCTGCTATCTCAGTGCAAAGATGGTTCTAGACCATTGGTCTTCAAAAGAATGGACAGAAAGTAGAAAGATGGTGATCAGTGATTCCCAACTTTTGGGCCTCCAGGTGTTTTGGACTTCAGCTCTCACAGTTTCTAATAGTCAGCAAGCTGGCTGGGATTTCTGGGAGTTGAAATCCAAAACACCTGGAGGCCCAAAGGTTGGGAACCACTGATAGTGAGGAATGAAGGAGAGAATGAAGGGAGGAGAAAGAGAGGCAGAGTGAAGGTCATATCTACACTGCATCAGTTGGAAAGATTCCAGGATAGTTTTAACTTCAATGGTCCTTCCCTGTTAGGAACTGTGTCTAGACCAGGCATGAGCAAACGTGATCCCTCCAGGTGTTTTGGACTTCAACTCCCACCATTCCTAACAGCCTCAGGCCCTTTTCTTTTCTCCCTCAGCCGCTTAAGCTGAGGAAGGGGCCTGAGACTGTTAGGAATGGTGGGAGTTGGAAGTCCAAAACATCTGGATAGCCCAAGTTTGCTCATGCGTGGTCTAGACAATCTTTGTCAGACAGCTGTTACCCATGTCTATTTGGGTATGAGACCATTATGCCTGTTCAGCTTTGCTCCAGAGACAAATTGGAGTGAGGTCATGGATATCCCAAACATTGCTTTTCTCATAGGTTAGGTCTACTGGTGGCTCCCTGAGTCTGAGAAGTATCAACATTATAGCTCTCCAAGAATACTCCTTTGATTTCATTTTATATAGGGACTGCTGGGATCCTTGTGGTTTTGCAGAAAGGAGTGGTAAGGAAATGGGTAGTGAAGTCAAGCTTTGTCTTTAAAAAGTGTTTTCCTATTTTATGGCCTAACTTATAATATAACCTCAAATTTATCCTTCTGCCTTTGTTTATCTGTTTTTGAATGTGAAAAATGGTTTCCTGTAGGGATTGTGTGGGTCTCGGGTGCTGTTCCAAGCGATGCCAAGCATTCAGCTGCAAAGTGACAGCCTCCGACTGCAAAAAAGATCAGGGCAGGGCTCTGTTTTCCATTCATTCCCCTGAGGAGAAGGTAAACTCAGCCTCCTTTATTCACCTTCCAGCTTTATGCCTGAAGCTTACATGTTAGATCCCCGTGAACAAATGCAGCAGCAAGGCGGTTCTCTTATGTACATTTATTCTTTTGTAATAGCCCACTTTATGGATTCCTGTGTAAGGAAATGTCTATATAGCCCTCCCTTGCCTACATCATGTTAATTTTCATCCCTGCTAGCACAATGTTTGTACAGTGACCAAAAAAGTGTTTGATATCTCTTGTAATTAAAAACCAATTAGTTTCGGATATTTTTCTCGGTGTTTTCTTCACCCATAGTCTTTCTTCTCTTGGCTGACTGAGGTACTGAATCAACTTAATGCAGTTTTCTCAACTTTCCTAATGCTATGTGCAAAAGCAATTTTCAGGGTTGAAGTTATTTCCAAGACCAGCATAGAAAATGCACATTTCTCTCAGCACTCATCTACTCTGCATAGTTTATTCTGCTTCTGCAACAGTCTACTGAAGCAATCGTGTTAGACCAGTGGTTCTGAACCTTCCTAATGCTGCAACCCCTTAATACAGTTCTTCATGTTGTGGTGATCCCCAACAATAACCTTATTTTCATTGCTACTTTCATAACTGTAATTTCCCTACTGTTATGAATCCTAATGTAAACATCTGATATGCAGGATGTATTTTCATTCACTGGACCAAACTTGGCACAAATACCCGATACGCCCAAATTTGAATACTGGTGGGGTTGGGGGGGGGATTGATTTTGTCATTTGGGAGTTATAGTTGTTGGAATTTATCATTAACCTGCAATCAAAGAGCATTCTGAACTCCATCAACGATGGAATTGAACCAGACTTGGCACACCGAACTCCCATGACCAGCAGAAAATACTGGAAGGGTTTGGTGGGCATTGACCTTGAGTTTGGGAGTTGTAGTTCACCTAAACCCAGAGAGCACCTTGGACTCAAACGATGGATCTGGACCAAACTTGGCATGGATACTCAATATGCCCAAATGTGAACACTGATGGAGTTTGGGGAAAATATACCTTGACATTTTGGAGTTGTAACTGCTGGGATTTATAGTTCAGCTACAATCAAAGAGCATTCTGAACCCCACCAGCGATAGAATTGGGCCAAACTTCCCACACAGAATCCCCATGACCAACAGAAAATACTGTGTTTTCTGATGGTCTTTGGCGACCCATTTGACACCCCTTCACGACCCCCAGGTTGAGAAACACTGATTTAATGAATACTTATTTTCATTAATCTATTAAAATATAATATTCCAAACCTTGAAGTGGAATACAAATGAAGTCAATTTAAGCAATTTAAATCCATTTAAAATTCAAAACAGTAAAAGCATTTTAAACAGGTTACAAGCATATTAAACATTTGAAGTGATTAGAAGTGATTAGGTTGTGTCTCTATTTGTGCCTTAAAGTACGCTGTTGACTTATGGTAACCTCATGAATTTCATAATGTTCTTAAGGCATGGAATGCTCAGATGTGTCATCGCCAGTTCTTCTTTCTGAAACAGAGTCTATAGCACCTGGTACTGGTTGGTGGTCTCCCATCCAAGAACAAACCAGGGATGTCCCTGCTTAGCTTACAAAATCAGGAGCGATTTGGTGCCATGTGGCTGATATGCAATAAAGTACATGGTGGGAGAAATGCATTCATGGCAATAGTGCAAAATTGTTACCAGGAGCTTGTTTACATGAGCCTAATAACTCAGACCCTGGCTGTCATCATGGTGCTCTTCACTTCCAGTAGATATCTCATGGTAAACCAGAATAACCTGTTTAAGCCCATTTTAAAGTTGGGAAATGCACTAGAGCAGGCATGGGCAAACTTGGGCCTTCCAGATGTTTTGGATTTCAACTCTCACCATTTCTAACAGCCTCGGGCCCCTTCCTTTTCCCTCTCAGCCGCTTGAGCGGCTGAGGGGGAAAAGGAAAGGGCCCGAGGCTGTTAGGAATGGTGGGAGTTGAAGTCCAAAACCCCATGAAGGGCCAAAGTTTGTCCATGCCTGCTCTAGAGTTTGCTTCAAACTTCAGAGCAACCCTGTAGCTTTGACGCAGTGTGGACAGCAGGATATGCTTCAATTCAGACCACGGTAATGCAGGTCGAAGACAGTGTGTGTGGTCACTTCCAGGGCATTTCTACTCTGGACTGGTCCAAGATCAACTCACCAGTGTAGATAAGGCCTAAGTAGCTATTGTGAAGGCTTGATTTATTCATCTGCAACTGTCATCAGGCCCAGAGATGTTACTTATCCTTTGACACCAGAATGAAGCTGGTGCCAATACCTGTTCATCCTCCAATACATTGCATTTGACAACTGAGATGCCCCAGCAGCAAAGGTCTTCCCTCGTGCAGTGGCCTCATGCCATGTGTTCTCATTGGTGACGCATGAAGGAGAGTTCCTCCACTGCATCTTGGGCGGCATATGTGGGGAGAAGTGCTCCTTCAATTACTGAGATCTCAAAATATGTCCCAATCTTTCCAGTAGATGTTATCAGCTCCTGCCTCAGCACATTGATGCATCACAATGCATGTGTTCTCGGTTGATCAAAATTGGTGTGGTTGCATAAGGTACGTGCCCTTACCTGTGGGGTTTCACTATTAGAACAATATCTTTCATTGCTCTAATAAGAGAGAGAGAGAGAGAGGTTCCTCATATGACTGATTTATACAGCTGAGTAATATTGCTGCCATTTTGCCTGTCACTCTTAATATGGGCATCTCAGGTTCTGGCGGAGCCCATGGTAGTGCAGTGGGTTAAACTGCTGAGCTGCTGAACTTGCTGACGAAGGGTTGGTGGTTCAAATCCGGGGAGCGGGATGAGCTCCCGCTGTTAGCCCCAGCTTCTGCCAACCTAGCAGTTCGAAAACATGCAAATGTGAGTAGATCAATAGGTACCGCTCCGTTGGGAAGGTAATAGCACACTCAGAGGTGGCCCTAGGTAATTTTCAATCATAAGCAAATAGTATTTTGGCGCACCCCCCCCCCCCAACCAATCACTGATATATATTTTCTGTTCGTCGTGGGAGTTCTGTGTGCCATATTTGGTTCAATTCCATCATTGGTGGAGTTCAAAATGCTCTTTGATTGTAGGTGAACTATACATCTCAGTAACCACAACTCGCATATGTCAAGGTCTATTTTCCCCCAAGAGCGCCTCAAGAGCGCCCCTGGGCAAAATCAACTATACTGCAAATGCTTACTTTGCGTAATGGGTTGAGCCGCCCCTGCCATGCAGTCATACTGGCTACATGACTCTGGAGGCGTCTACGGACAATACCGGCTCTTCGGCTTAGAAATGGAGATGAGCACCACCTCCCAGAGTCGGACACGACTAAACTTAATGTTGAGGGAAAACCTTTACCTTTCCAGGTTCTGGCCATTTTGCTCTACCCAAACTACTTCTGTTCTTTAAAAAGGGTGATGGAGTAAGGGAAGCAAGCCTGAAAGATTCTTGTCTCTTCTGTTTCAACACATATGGCAGGAAGACTTGGAAGGTTAATATATTGCTCCCAGGGACAAAGAGATGTTTGTTGTTAATATGGCAGATGCATCTCTCCTCTGTTCTATTTGGCACCACCATCCGGAAGCACCCTTTAATTCTTATGAGTTCTGCAGAACCAGTGGCTCAGAAAGAACAAAGTGAAAAACACTAATTCTTGTTACATGGAAGCAACTCCAACTTTGGATGTGTGTGTGTCAGGAGCGACTTGAGAAACTGCAAGTCACTTATGGTGTGAGAGAATTGGCCGTATGCAAGGACATTGCCCAGGATGTTACCATCCTGTGGGAGGCTTTATGAGACCCTCCTCATAATTTTTTTTCATGTCAGGAGTGATTTGAGAAACTGCAAGTCGCTTCTGGTGTGAGAGAATTGACTGTCTGCAAGGATGTTGCCCAGGGGATGCCCAGATGTTTTCATGTTTTACCATCCTTATGGGAAACTTCTCTCATGTCCCCCACGGGGAACTGGAGCTGACAGAGGGCGCTCATCCATGCTCTCCCCAGTATTCAACCTCCAACCTTTCGGTCTTCAGTCCTGCCAACACATGGGTTTAACCCATTGCACCACCACAATGTACAGCAGAGTAACTTAGCAGCAGCAGTGTGACTATAGCACTAGTAGCCCAAAGTGATAAAAGGAACAAAAACTCCCAGATCTTTGTTATCTCTTCCATAGGAGGCTTTTTTTTTGTAGGAAAATAATATGGTTGCACGATTTACAACAACAAGGCTTCCATAACACAAATAAACAAACATATAGTAGCTTTACACACAGCAGACTTCACACTGGAGCTTTCTCACACGAGACTTCTCTCACACAGAGGTTTACCTCACACTCCTCAGAACGACACTAGCTTTGACCCACTGACTCTAACAGGCTTCGGCCTACTAACTCTTGCAGTGCTTGACTCACACTTTTGTAATCAAAAATACCCAGTTAATATTTAATATTTCTGATAGGCTTCTCTCATGTCCCCGTATGGGGAGCTGCAGCTGACAGTTGGGAACTCACCCTGCTGCCCGGAATCAAACCACTGACCTGTCAGTAAACAGTCCTGCCAGCTCAAGGGTTTTTGGTTTCTCCATGATCCTCTGGAGGTCCTGGAGGACAGCGCTGTGTGCCCAGCTTTAAGAGCAAAGACAGACTGTTGACTATCTCCTGCCCACCCCAGGGTCAGCAGTCCTGCTGGCACATGGGTTTTTGGTTTCTCCATGATCCTCTGGAGGACAGTGCTGTGTGCCCAGGTTTAAGAGCAAAGACAGATGGTTGACTATCTCCTGCCCATCCCAGGCCACTAAGGAAAGTGGATCCTCAAGTAATATGGCTGTTTCAAAGAAGGAGCAGTAAATTCCACCTCTTGCAGTTGTATTTGTTTATGCCATCTACAGGATGTCAGGCAATACCTTAGCTTCTGCTGAGACAGAGGAACTTGAGGGTATGGCACAGGCATGAGGAAACTTTGGCCGTACAAAGTGTTTTTGATTTCAACTCCCACAATTTCTAAAAGCCTACCGGCCATTAGGAATTACAGGAGTTCATTTATTTATTTATAGTATTTATAATTTGCCCTTCTCACCTCAAAGGGGACTCAGGGCGGATCACAGAACACATACACGGCAAACATTCAGGGCTGTTAAAGAGACAGGACAGACAACAGACGTATTATGTCAGCATTTTTCCCAACTTCAGTGTCCTCAAGGTTGAACTCCAAAACACCCAGAGGACCAAAGTTTGCCTATGCCTGGTCTGGAAGGTAG